GGACCTAGAGAACATTATGCTAAGTGAAATACATCTGTCGGAGAAATACAAATACCATACTTATATGTGGAATCTAAAGAAGTGAATAAATGAGCAAACTAAACTAAAAAAAAAACAACTAAGGGTGGATGCATGAATAAGAACTAAAGACCCATACATATGTTCCCAGAAAAGACCCATTTCAGATCAAAAGATACACACAGACTAAAAGTAAAGGGGTGTAAAAGATTTAATGCAAATGGAAACAAACAAACAAAAACCTGGAGTAGCAATATTATATCAGATAAAACAGACTGTAAAACAAAAGCTGTAACAAAAGGCAAATAAGGGCATTTCATAATGATACAAAGATCAATCCAACAAAAGGATACATCCTTGTAAACCTCTATGCACCCAGTATAGGACCACCTAAATATATAAAGCAAATATTGACTTACATAAATGGAGACATCGACAGTAATACATAGTAACCAACTTTAATACCCCCATTTCCATCAATGAATAGATCATCAAGAGAGAAAATCAACAAGGAAACAGTGGCCTTAAATGACACATTAGACCAGAGGAATTTAATTGATATGTTTAGAATAGTTCACCCTAAAGAAAAAAATACACATTCTTTCCAAGTGCAAATGGAACATTTTCAAGGATAGACAACATATTAGGCCAGAAAACAAGTCTAAATGAATTTATGAGGATTGAAATCATATCAAGCAACTTCTCTGATCTCAATGGTATGAAACTAGAAGCTAATTACAAAAGAAAACTGAAAAACACACAAACACTTGGAGGTTAAGTAACATGATATGGGTTAACAGGGTGATGAAAGAGAAAATTTAAAAAAACCTTGAGACAAATGAAAAACAAAACAAATATTGACCCAAAATCTATGTGACACAATCAAAGCACTTCTAAGAAGGAAATTAATAGCAATACAGGCCTACTGCAAGAAACAAAAAACATATCAAAGAAAAAAAAACATCTCAAAGAATTAAAAAAAGAGAGAGAGGGGGGCCGACCGAGTGGCTCAGTTGTTTAAGAGCTCACTCAAGAGGGCGAGCTCTGAGCAACAGGGTTGCCAGTTCGATTCCTGAGCTAAGCTGCTGCTGAGCTGCAAACAGGTGGCAGGGTGGCTCAGCTAAAAAAAAAGAGAGGGCCCAAATAAATAAAATTAGAAATGAAAGACAAGTGACAGCTGACATGACAGAAATACAAAGGATTACAAGAAAATACTACAAATAATTGTATGCCAACAATTGGACAATCTGGAAGAAATGGATAAATTCCTAGAAATAATCTTCTAAGACTGAAGCAAGAAGAAACAGAAAATCTGAACAGACCAATAACTAATAAAAAATCAAATTTGTAATCAAAATAATCCCAAGAAATGAAAGTCCTAAATCAGATGGAGTCACAGGTGAATTTTTCCAAACATTCAAAGAATTAACACTGATCCTTCTCAAACTATTAAAAAACTGAAGAGGATAGAAAGCTCCTAAGCTCATTTAACGAGGCCACCATTACCCTGATTCCAAAATCACACAAAGACTTTACAAAAAAAAAAAAAAAGAAAGAAAGAAAAATAAAATTATAGGCCAATATGCCTGGCAAACATAGATGCCAAAGTCCTCAAGAAAATATTAGTAAAACGAATTCAGCAATATATTCAACATAATGATAAAGTGGAATTCATTCATGGGATGCAAGGTTGATTCAATATGTGCCAATCAATTAACATGATACACCACTTAAACCAAATAAAAGATAACTATCATATGATCATATCAATGGATTCAGAAAAGCATTTGACAAAATCCAGCATTCATTTTTGATTAAAAAAAAGTCTCAGCAAAGTGGAAATGGAGGGAACATAGCTGAACATAAAAAGACCATATAAGACCAACCCACAGCTAACATCATACTCAATAGTGAAAAGCTAAAAGTGTTTTCTTTAAGGTCTGGAAGAAGACAAGGATGTCCACTTTCACCAATTTTATTCAACATAGTATTAGAAGTCCTAGCCACAGCAATCAGACAAGAAAAAGAAATAAAAAAGCATCAAAAGTGAGAAGAAAGAAGTAAAACTCTCATTATTTGCAGATGACATAATACTATATATAGCGAATGCTAAACAGTCCACCAAAAAACTAGTAGAGCTGATAAATTAGTTCAGTAAAGTAGTAAGGTACACAATTAATATTCAGAAATTGGTAGCATTTTTATAAATAAGCTATAAAAAAGATAAATTAAAAAAAATTCCACTTACAATTGTATCCAAGAAATAAAAAAACCTAGAATAATTTATCATAGGAGGTAAAAGATGTGTACTTGGAAAAGTATAAGATCTTAAAGAAAGAAATTGAAGAAGATACAAATAAATGGAAACATATACTGTGCTCATGGATAGTAAAAATCAACATTGTTAAAATGTACATACTATCCAAAGCAATCTACAGATTCAGCTCAATCCCTATCAAAATACGAATGGCATTTTTCGTATTACTAGAAAAAAATAATCCTAAAATTTATATGGAACCATAAATGACCCTAAATAGCTACAGCAATTTTGAAAAGAACAAAATTGGAGGTATCATGCTACCTGACATCAAACTATATGACAAGGCTACAGTGATCAAAACAGCATGGTATTGGCATAAAAAAGACACATAGATCAATAGAACAGAACAGAGAGCTCAGAAATAACCTCATACCTATATAGGTAATTAATGTACGACAAAGGAGGGAAGGATATTCAATGGGTAAAGACAGTGTCTTCAATAAATGGTGGTGAGAAAACTGGACACACAAATGCAAAAGAGTGAAACTGGATCACTTTTTTACACCATATACAAGGATAAATTCAAAATGGATTAAAGACTTAAACTCAAAATCATAAAACTCCTACAAAAAAACAGGCAGTATACACTTTGACATTGCTCTTAGTAATTTTTTTTTGAAGTGTTTCCTTAGGCAATGGAAACAAAAGAAAAGAAATAAATCAATGGGACTACACTCAACCAAAGAGTTTTTATAGAGCAACGGAAACCATCAATAAAACAAAAAGACAACCTACTGAATGGGAAAAGATGTTTGACAATGATACATTGATATGGGGTTAATAGCCAAAATATATATGGAATTCATGTAACTTAACAGCAAAATAACAATCTGATATAAAAAAATGACCAGAGGACCTGAACAGATCGACCTATGACTCAGCAATTCCACTTGTGGGTATCTATACAAAGAAATCCAATTTATAATTTGAAAAGATTTATGCATCCCTATGTTCATTGAAGCATTATTTCCAATAGTCAACTATGAAAGCAACCTAAATGTCCACTGATAGATGAATGGATAAAGATGTGGTATATTTATACAATGGAATAGTACTCAGCCATAAAAAAGAATGAAATCTTGCCATTTGTGACAACATGGATGAACCCAGAGATTATTATGCTAAGTGAAATAAGTCAGACAGAGAAAGACAAATACCATATGATCTCACTTATATGTTGAATTTAAAGAACAAAATAAATAAACAAAACAGAAACAGACTCATATAGAAGAAACTGATGGTTGCCAGATAGTAGGGGGATTTGAGGGAAGGGTGAAAAGGGGGAAGGGAGATTATGATGTACAAATTGCCAGTTAAAAACACAATCATGTGGATGTAAAGTATAACATAAGGAATATAGTCAATAATATTGTAATAATAATGTGTGGTGTCAGATGGGTCAGACTTATTGGGGTGGTCAGTTCATAAATTACATAAATGTCTAATCACTATGTTGTACACCTGAAACTAATGTAATATTATGTCACCTGCAATTGAAAAATTATTTTAAAAAGCAAACAGAAGTTATTATTTTCATGACGACATGGTTTGAAATCACTAGGACCTATGTATCAAACTTACAAAAGAAAGGTGGCTTCCTCTGCATTGGTTACTGTTTGCTCTTGTTCTTTGGAGAGGACTAAGCAGCCATCAAAATTTTAAGTCATGTTGTCAGAGGCCTAATCTCCAATCTGCCTCTGCCACATAACTATCGTGTCAACTTTGTGAAGCTACTCACCTCTCTGAGTTTAGTATTTTACCTGTATACTGGGGGTAATAAATACCTACTTTATAGGTTTAGCATATTAACATGAAATAATGCATGCCATATGCTTAGTGCAGTTCCTTGTGCTAATTAATGGATATTATTATTTGTTGCCACAACTCTCATTATATCATTTTAAGTGATGAAGATGGATTTTGAAATGAGCTACCATTATATTTTCTGGAAACTCATGAATAGATTAATGGTTTTACAATTTAACAATGCCAAGCCATGTCAGAGTTTCCTTTCTATAATAGAAGCCCTCAGGAAAGGTGCGACAGATATCCTAGGGACAGGTTAAGAGTCCATCCAAAGGTGACTGCAAGGACAGGAGGCTCCAGGATGCTTATTTCCTATTGCTAGTGGAGGTGCTCAAAGAATGAACAACATACAGTAAATAGCCAAATATATGGTAGATCAAGTATTGTGGCCACAGCCAATGTCCTTGTAATGTGCTGGAGGATGAAAGGGGTTAGCATGTTCTTTTGCTCCACAAAAAGTAGTATGTTCTCCTCTCTAATGACCTTTCTCTCAGTCTTTTTTTAAAAAGAGAAGTTTCATTTTCAGCCTCCTATGGAAAAATAATCTCCAGCTTGTTAAGATTTCATGAGAGAGAAATCTACTTAGTGGATGGGGACAGAAGCATAACTATGCTTAAGATCTCTGACACACCTTTTACCCAAGGCCCTTATATAAGGAATTCAATCACATTTGGGGAAATAAGAAAAATAGATATTTTTACTGTTTGTGGATGTATTAAAAATTAAAATGGCCCTCAGCCAGAGAATCTTTAGTGGAAATAAACCCTAGTTCACATTTTAGAGAGCTAGGAAAGAACCTGGATAGCATCCTGGCCTCACCAGTTATGCATGACCTGTGATCCCACCTAAAACTGACCTGTGAAGAGAAGAGATCCTTTCAGCAGTTCTTTTCCCACCACTTCTTTTTGCAGGAATGCAAACTCTTCCATTAAGAGTTCAACATGTTCCTCATGCAATACTTTCCCTGTCATGACAAAAAAAAGTTTAATAAAAATAGCAGTCAACATCAATTGTATATATACCCTTACACACCCCAGCTGTAGGTATTATCAGTTCTAAGATTACAACAAAAACAAAATTCTAGAAGAGCAAGATTGTATCCACCTTCCCCAAAGGCAAGATTAGATCTGAGAGCCGAGAGACAGGTGAATGTTAGCTTCTGTTCTAGACAAAAGGGGATAGTGCAGCATAAAAATCTAAGAAACACGGAGAAGAAAAGGGATTCTTGGCATTGATGGAGAGGAGCTAAAATTAGATTCTTCTTCTTTTCTTAAGTTTATTAGGGTGACAATGGTTAGTAAAGTTACATAGGTTTCACGTGTACAACTCAGCAACACATCTATATATCACACCATGCGTTCACCACCCAGAGTCAGTTCTCCCTCCATCACCATATACCTGATCTCATTTACCCTCATCTACAACCACTAAACTATTGTCTGTACCTATGAGTTTTTGCTTCTTTGTTTGTCTTGTTCCTTTGTTGCTTTCAGTTTTATATCCCACATATCAGTGAAATCATATGGGTCTCGACTTTTTTCTGTCTGACTTATTTCACCTAGCATAATAATCTCAAGATCCACCCATGTTGTTGCAAATGGCAGTATTTCATCTTTCCTAATGACAGAGTAGTATTCCATTGTGTGTATATACCACATCTTTATCCAACCATCTATCGAAGGACACTTTGGTTATTTCCATGTCTTGGCCACTGTAAATAAAGCTGCAATGAACATTGGTGCACATATATATTTATGGATCAATGTTTTCAGATTTTTTGGGTCTATACCCAGGAGAATAATTTCTAGGTCATATGGTAACTCTATTCTTAATTTTTTGAGGAATCTCCACACTGCCTTCCACAATAGCTGCACCAATCTGCATTCCCACCAACAATGTATGAAGGTTCTTTTTTCTCCACAGCCTCTCCAACACTTATTATTTGTCTTGTTGATGATAGTCATTCGAACAGGTGTGAGGTGATATCTCATTGCGGTTTTTGGATGGATCTTGAGATTATTATGCTAAGCAAAATAAGTAAGACAAAAAAGTTGAGAACCATACAATTTCACTGATACATGGGATATAAAACTGAAAGCAACAAAGGAACAAGACAAAGAAATGAAAATTCATAGACACAGGCAATAGTTTAGTGGTAACCAGAGGGTAAGGGTGGGGGATGGTGGCACATGAGGATAAAAGGGGTCAAATATATGTTGATGGAAGAAGAACTAACTCTGGGTGGTGAACACACCATGTGATATACAGATGATATATTACAGAATTGTACACTTAAAACCTATGTAATTTTACTAGCCATTGTCACCACCAATAAATTTAATTAAAAAAAAATTGCATAGCACCTGATAGGATGCAATGCAAAGAACATAAGATCACTTCTATGATATTCCTATGAAAGATCCATACTCCAAATATAATCATGAAGAAACACCAGGCACACCCAAATGTAGGAACATACTACAAAATAACTGGCCTGTAAACTTCCTAAATACCAAGGAAAGACTGAGGAACTGCAGCAGAGGTTAAGAGTGATATGCCAACTGAAGACAATATGTGATTCTGAACTAAATCACTTTGCTATTAAAAAATGTTATTAGAAAAACTAAGAAATTTGAATGGAGTCTGATGATTATTTTGTAGTATGTATGCATCTTTGTTAATTTCTTCATAGTTTTTCATTTTGTTTAAATTGATGAAATAACTGACAAATACAACTGTGAATATTTAAAGTGTATAGCATGTTGATTTGACATACATATACACTCTGGAATGATTACCAAGATGAAGATACTTAAGGGATGAGACAATACAAATTGGTAACTACAATATGGCCTCAGGGATAGAAAAGACAGTCTGGGGAATATAATCAATAATGTTGTAAATATTTTTTAGGGGGCCAGATGGACTCATGTCTTGTTAGGGAGACCACTGCATAGTTGGTGTAGAGGCCTGACCACCACACTGTATATCTGAAGCTGATGTTGAATAATAATGTATGTCAACTAGAATTATATATATATATAGTCACAGGACATGGAGTAGAGAGTGGGAATGGAGTCAATGGAATTGTAATAGATAAGCATGATATTGGGGGTGGGAGGGCAGTAGATGGGGGAGGGGGGTCGTTACTTTGTAAGGGTGAAAAAGATAACTATTGCATTGTTCTATACACCTGAAACTAACAATAAAATTTAAAAAAATAAAGAAAAAAAATGATGAAGATACTTAACACTTCATTACCTCAAAGAGTTAACTGTATGTGTGTGTGTGTGTGTGGTGAGAATGCTTAAGATCTACTCTCAGCAACTTTCAAGTACACACTACTATATTAACCATAATCACCATAAAGTACATTAGAACCACAGAACTTATTCTGTCTATAACTGAAAATTTGTACTCTTTGATCTACATTGCTCTATTTTCCCTTCCCCAAAGCCCCAGGTAACTACCACTCTAATTTCTGTTTCTACGAATTTTTTTTGTCTTTAGATTCCACATGTAAATAAAACCATACACTATATGTCTTTCTATATCTGGCATTATTCACTGAGCATAACACACTCCAGATTCATCCATGTTGTCGCAAATGGCAGGATTCCTTCTTACTCATGGCCAAAAAATATCATTTCTAAACATATGTCATGTTTTCTTTATCCTTTCATTCATCAAAGGTCATTTAGGTTGTTTCCATCTCTTGGCTACTGTGTGAACAATGCTGCAATAAACACGGGGGTGCATATATGTCTTCGACAAACTGATTTCAATTCCATTGTACATGTACCCAGGAGTGGGATTGCTGGACCATATGGTAGTTCCATTTAAAAAAATTTAAAGACCTGCCATACTGTTTTCCACAGTGGCTGCATCAATTTACAACCCCACCAACAGTGCATGAGGGTTCCCTTATCTCCGCATCCTTGCCAACATTTGTCTTGTCTTTTTCATGATAGCTATTCAAATAGATATGAGGGTATGTTTCATTGTGGTTTTGATTTGCATTTTTGTGATGAATAGTGATGTTGAGCACCTTTTAATACATCCACTGGCCATTTATTTGTATGTCTTCTTTGGAAATACATGTATTTATCTCCTACTCATTTTCTGACTGAATTATTTGCTTTTTTGCTATTAGTTTTATGAATTGTTTATATTTTGGATATTAACCCCTTATCAAATATATAGTGTTAGGAGCCATCTCAGAGTACTGATACTCTAGGTTGACTGTAGGTGGAGAATGACAGGTGGCTAAAGACCCCCAAGTTCTGTGTGCTGAGAAAAAGACTGCAAAGCTGCTTGTTAGCTGAACAGCAAAAAAGGGGACTGCTAAAATCAGTAACCCAACAACGCCCAGCTCATCTCCTGTGCCTTGGAAAAGCAGAAGCTCCTAAACCACAACCATCAGACCCTCAGATGTTATTGTCTATGGACTTATGAACTTTTGGGACTTTTCCATCATGGACTTGCTGACAGTTGCTATTTGCCTTAAGTTTCACTTTGCTTAAAATATATTATTAGCTTATGCTATGTGATCATGTAACCTGTTGCCAAGACATTATCTCACCTCCAAACTTCTAATTCAGGAACATTGGTTCCTCCTTCCCCCAAACCCCCCTAACAAAACCCCTATGCTTAGACAAGGTTTATTCCTGGTAAAAGAGGAACTTGCTCTCTATATAAGCACTATGCCTTTTAATAAAATTTATCCTGATTGCCATCCACAGTCAGTGACCCTCCTAATCCTTTGGTGTCTATGCCATTCTTTAATTTCTCATTTCCTCGCGCCGATCAATCCTGCTCAAGGACCATTCGTTCAGTGGGTTCCTGGCCTGCGCATCCAGGGGCCACGGCTGTCGAGCCGGCTCTTGGCAATATAATTTGCAAATATTTTTCCTATTCTGTAGGTTGCCATTTCAATGTATTGTTTGCTGTGCTGTATTGAAGCTCTTTAGTTTTATGCAGACCTATTTGTTTATTTTGGCTTTCATTTGAGCACTTGGTGTCTCATCCAAGGAAGTACTGCCAAGACCAATGTCAAGGATTCAATGATTTGTCCCTATGTTTTCTTCTAGGTGTTTTATGGTTTCAGGTAAGTCGTTTTTATGGCTTCATCTGTCTTTGATACATTTCAAGTAATTTTTTTTTAATTTGTGTAAGATATGGGTCCAGTTTCATTTTTCCTCATGTGGGTATTTAGTTTTCCCAGTACCACTGACTGAAGAGTGTATCCTTTTCCTATTATGTGCTCTTGGTGCCTTTGGCAGAAATCAGTTGACCGTATATTCATGGGTTTATGGCTGGGCTTTTTACTCTATTCCACTGGTCTGTGTGCCTGTTTTTATTCCAGCACCACATGTTTTGGTAACTACAGCTTTGTCATATAGGTTGAAATAAAGAAGTGTGATGCCTACAGCTTTGTTTTTCATTCCCAGAATTTATTTTGCTATTTGGGGTTGTTTGTGGTGCCATACAAGTTTCAGGACAGTTTTTTTCTATTTCTGTGAAAAACGCCATTGGAATTTTGAATGCCGTTGGAAATCTGCAGATTGCTTTGGAGAGTATGGACATTTTAATAATATCAATTTTTTCAACACAAGAACAAGGGATATTTTTCAATTATTTGTAGATTTCATCAGTGTATTAGAGTTTTCAGTGTACATGTTTTTCATCTCATTAAATTTATTCCTAAGTATTTTGTTGTTTTTAATGGTATTGTAAATGGGATTTCTTTCTTAATTTCTCTTTCATATAGTTCATTGCTAGTGTATAGAAATGTAACTGATTTCTGCATGTTAATTTTGTATTCTGCAACTTTACTGAATTTATTACTTCTATAGTAGTTTTTGGTGGTTTTTAGGGTTTTCTCTATATAAAATCATGTCATCTGCAAACAGAGACAATTTAAATTTTTTCATTCTGATATGGATGCCTTTCTTTTTCTTGCCT